GTTTGAAATTATTCCAAATGGTCGGTCGACCTTTCATCTTCATATTTTGGAAGCCACCTTTATTAAAACACATAAATTTGTCCTTTGCCGCCAAAAAGAATTCCTATACAATCTACACATAACCTACAACAATTGTGTTAAAATAGTTGCTTTTTTTCTGTCATGGAAGATAAGCAAAGGATTTTAAATACCAGTAAAAAGAACTGGATACGAAAAATTTTATTTCAGGTTGAAGACAGAAATACCACCATCACTTTCAATTTTTTGACGTAGAGCAATGGGTAATGAGCCATATATTCAAAACATGTTTATTAAATTCTGTGTTTAAGGGAAAACAATTCAACATAGACAGCATTACCAGGTTCATTGTCGTGCCAGTGTATACTAGCTTATACTTGCGTATCATTACACTATTTTTTTCATTCTATTCATGTTCAGTTGGGAAAGGGAAAATAACATGAAGGTGGAAAACATATAGATATATGAAATCTTATCAGTTTTTCATGCCCTTTTAAAAGGGACTTTCGGAGAAGCGAAATTGGAAAATAACATGAGATAATTAATGACTAAGTTGTATCTTCAAAATGGAATTTAGTTAATAAAGTGAATTTAAAATAAATCCAAAAAGTATTGTATAGTTAGGCTTTAATCATCTTGGCAGTTCCAGACAATTTTACTCTCTAAACTTTGAATTTACCTTTAGAGTAGGGGGTGGTGCTTGACGTACTTATGCTGTTTTACATCCTTTAGCAGAACAAATACTTAAAAGGTATCATTGAAAATATTTAGAATCTTGTTTTAAATACCACATTTTACTTATTTATAAGAAATGATAAATATAAATTATAAATTGGAAATATAGATGTGATTTTAAATCACAGGTTAATATTCTTCGTATGTTTCGTATTTTATTTTTAATACCATGTTTTAACTTCATCATAAGGGTGAATACTCAACTAGATTAATTATAAAATATAAAATAACGTTTCCTTGTGGATACGACGTGTTTTACGGTATTCCTAATTTGTGATATAATTGTTATTCAGGTGAGGTGATCTGGAAAACGGGAGATTCCAAATATTGTGTGTGTGTTTCCACACTTTATTGTAGTTACTTCAAACAAAGGAAGAAACATACGTGATTTACAACGGGCAAAAATGAAAACTAAAGGATGCAAAAAGACAACGTTTTAAACAAACTACAATGAAATGTTACTGGAATAAATTGGTTTAAAATGCTTTACTACGATCATGCGAAAAACACACCAAGTAACTTCCAGAGAGTACTTTATAAACCTGATAACATTTTAAAGACTAAATTGAAGTTAAAATATAAAAAAGAAGTTGGGGAATGAACATCCCTCTTGCAGTTGACCGATTGCATGCTGGCAAACATAGTTTCTAACAACACTATCCTTCCACACTTTTGTTTGGTCAGTGAACCCTGCGTAAACTGACTTCAACTATAGATATGACAAAACCAGGGCTATGTTTAGGAAAGATCAATAAAGCACTTACAGTTTCAAACAAAAAATTTACAAAATGTACTAAATTTGTGAATTTTAAAAAACAAAAAACTATAATAGGCCTTAACATTTTAGGTCTATTAGTTTCTAATGCTTTGCCAATTTTCAAGGTTTAAACCATAGCTTTAAAAAACTATAATAGTCTCAAGACTGAAAGAAATAGTTATGTCATATTAACAGATCACATTAACCCATTTGAGAAAATAGGCATCTGAATACTCAATTAAGTCATTTACTGAAGATGAGATATAACTTTCTTGTGTGTGTGGGGGGGGGGGGGGGAGATGCTCCAATTTCTTTGAAGCAAGATATTTCACTATTTTAGCTATTAAGTATGAGGTATTGTGCCCTTATAATTATGGTGCTCTATTTGATTTTGGTTAGAAAGTATTTATATATACTATTTATTACTAAATATAATATGGGTTTCTCTTATTAATGCGATGCTTTGTATTAGTTTTCTAGAAGAGCAGATACATGTTAACCTGCTTTAACTACTAAACACGTGCTTTTAAGTTTCTTTGTAGTAATTATGGTCTAATGTCTTAAGTAGATTAGAAGCTACTCTACGTTAGCTAGTCTGCTAGTACATCTGATATGTTCGACCCCTCATGGAAGAATGGATAATCATTACCTAAGAAAAGGAATTGTGATTTTGTATTGAAGATGAAGATGTGGATAATTGGTTACATTAAACATTGGACCTAACATGTAGTTTGTTCTAGTGGCAATAGTTTCAACTGTGTTTCAAATATAGAATACAAAGTATGGTTTTATTCTGAATATAATATTCTATCTCATCAAGTGAAAACACAGAACATGCGATTGGATTTGTTATGATAACAATCAACGAACTCTTTTAAGAGAGTGAATAAGGATCCATATTAACCTACTCAGAACGAGGTGTGGTTTTGTTTAGATTAGATTAGAATAATCTAACTACTTTTATAGAAAAGTTGCTCATATACTCTTAATGAATACGAGTTGATCTTTTATCACTTTTTTCATTGAGTATAAGTTGTTATTTTATTTTTGTTGTTTATATTACCATTCCCTTACTTAACTAATTCAGCAAATTGGTAGTAGGTGTGATACTATTATTAAAACATTGACGCAGTGCCTTTGAGAAATTTCGTGATAAAAGACCAAGTGAACTGGTAAACATTGGGAGAATACAATACTACAAATGTTTTACTTCATTGGAAAATAAACTATTGAACACAAAGATATTTTATTTTTCTAAATATGATGTCCAAGTTTCCTAAGATGATGTTTATATAATATAATATTTTAAATTTTGAACACGAGATGCTTTTGGCTGAGTACAATATTCTAAATATTGAATACGAATTATGTTTTTCTTGTGATTATATTTATTTGTTTGAAGTTAAGCACAAAGCATCACAATGGTCTATCTGTACTCTGCCCACTACGGGTATTGAAACCCGGTTTCTAGCGTTCTAACTCCGCAGACATACCGCTATGCTATTGACAGAAGGGATGAGAAACTAAACACAATAATTGGGTTATTTTAAACACAATATGCTAGCTCCACTGAATTGGTGTACCTAATATTTTATTATATACCGGACGTGAAGTTTGGTTTTGTTGCAATAACGAACTTCTACCTTCTTGAGAGACTGTGTTAACTATCGATTACCAGGGTTTTTATGTTTTTGTAAATTCGAGATTCCGCATTCTTTCGATTAGTGGATACTCAACTTTGCTATTAAACATGAACTCCGTTTTTGTTTTGAAAGATACGCTCCAAGTTATCATTGAAAATACTCAACATTACATATTAGCAATGTACAAATTTAAATGATAATCTTACTTTACTGAGATGGCAAATGTTCAGTTACATTAAACATTGAGCATGAAGTGCATTTCTGTAATTACAATACTATGTTTTATATATATATATAAAGGATTACTAAAGCATGGTTACAGTTGAACAGTTATAGAGTATACTCACATAAATTAACTATTGAATATGATATATGGTTTTATTTTGAATATTATGCTTCAATTAATTATATATATATGTATACTTAACTAACTACTCATGACCAGGTAAATAGTTTGTAAAAGCGATTCTAAAAATTATTTGAGAGAGAGTACTCAACACAGCTAACGAACATTAGTTATATTGCTATGAATACGGTGATTTAACTTCACTGAGAGAGTAAATGCTTAATTACATTATTAAACACTGGCATAAGATATCCGCCCTTCGTTTGGGGTTCAAAGGTCCCCACACGATTCACATAGGCCCAAATCTACCGATCAATCTCCTCCATTATCTATTACTACTTCTATAGCCTCCCTAAAGAAGACTACGCAGTATGATTACAAACACTCCCAGGCTACCATGAATAAGTCTGCCAAGTATGATCCTGCTCACTCCAAAGCTGTGGGAGTAATTCGCGGACAAAACTAAAATAAAATATTTACAAACGCAGCGTGAATTAGTAAAGAATGAGCCGTGTGTATATTGAGGGTGGATACATAACTGCTTTAACCAATGAATACTGTTATCTCTTCGAAAGAATATATAGCAAACTGCTTTTAACAAAGAAACTTGGTCTGTGAGCTTCATCATAATATGTCATAATAGTCAACTATGTTATCTACAGAGTTGGCGTTTAAATATTAATACAATGATCGATATTCCTCCCTGGATGGTCAACTATGTTAACTAATGAGACAAAGTGTGGTTTTATCATGAATATAAATGTTACTGGACTTTGTTAACTACTGAACACAAATAGTTTTATATCATTTGCAACAAAGGAATACTTATACATAGCCTACCCTTCATGTAAACCTGTGCTATTGTCCTGTGTGTAATGGAATCGTCTAAAGTAAAAGTCATTTACTATTGTTAATATATTTATATTATCATACGACTTCGCTTTATGTTATTTCGTAGTTGGCTTTGACGTTTTCAATAATCTGTCTAGATGTTGAGTGGTAATAGTGCATAGAAGAAAACAATTTTTAATTATCTTGTATGTTTTCAGTGAGGATAATTAATATTCGTATTATTACTTTCCAAACTCTGCTTTTCTTGTAGCCGCTGCTAGTACGGAGAAATTATTATAATTAAATTAATTTGGTAGGAGTCTAGAAAATAGTAATTAATGTTTTTAAAATTGCGTGCCCTACACAAATTTATAACGCAACTGATTGGATTGAGTTTATGTAGACTTGTGTGACGTCATTGGAATTGTATTGTTCTATAGATTGCTTTCCCTCTTAGAACTAGGTACTGTTTTAGGTATAATCATTTAAATCATTGACCTCGAAAGTGAATGTTAGTATAATGGTAACTCATTGTCAGAGGAAATGAAATTATTTTTTTCTTACATTGATTGCGTTAAATTTTTTCAAGGGTTACCACATTTTTTTGTTAATTAAATTTGTTACTTTTCTAATTTTATCCAACTTATATACTTTTCCTCCAAAATTCAGGTTCCTCCTTTTAATATTATAAACTTTGAAGCAGATCAATTTTAAAAACTTCAGAATAAATAGAAATTTTTAAAAATTGAGCACACTTTTCGAGTGTCATAATTATTATTTTTTCTCTAACATTTGAGATCATTGTAATTAATGAATTGCAAAGAATATCACTATCAAAAAAATCCAACAAACACTTGAAGCACAAACTATTTTGATGAAAGTTAAAAAGGAAATGATAAACTGAATTAATAAGGTTTTTAAATCATTTTTCAGTGGCAGCAGTAAGCATCTCTTTGAGGCAATCATGCTGGATCACACTCACTTCGTTGTTGCTTTTGTGTCAGATGTGACATTACTGAAGAGTATTCATAAAATCAAACATAAAAACATCCTAAAGAAACCTAAAGAAACTGAGTGTCTCACGTATTCTTACAGAAAGCATGCAGAACACTATTTGAGGCCATCCGTAAACTGCTTCTCTATTTAGCTCCAAATATGCTTGTTTATATAATGATTGGTGATCTAATGGTTGTTCTCATTCTTCTACGGTGGCCAAGACTGTTACAGACAAACTGTGTAATCTGTGGAAACATATTATGGACGTGAGTGTTATAAAAAGGAAGTGGGTATGTGTATTTTCTCATCGTTACACACGAAGTGCATCAATAACATCTTTGATGTAAGCTGTGCCTTGTGAGTGTTTTATTTATTTTTTTGGTATCAAGTAGACAAAACAAAAAAGATTATTTATCATCAATGATAGTAATGCGTTACTGGGTATGATGCTGAAGTATTGGTCCATAAAAATAAGATCCCTTTGTGTGTTTTCCAAAAAAGAAGTGAAATGAAGAGTTTTTGTTAATGACCCAACAATAATTTCTTGAGAACAGTCCCTAAAATTCTTATTTTGTGTCAAATGGAACACAGAAACTGTAAGGTAAATTTAACTTAGTTTTCTATTTCTGTTGCAAAACGGAGATACTGAGACTTGATCAAAGTCTTTGACATTCTAATTATTGTGTTTATGTTTATTATTTGAGTTTTATTCACTATCCTAGAGTCAGTGAATCCGACACGGTATGTAGATGTGTTTTTGGATCCATAAAGTATCCACCTATTAAACAAGTTACAACTGTGTACAAAATTCATATTTACTAGATTTTTATAAGTGTAGTTGTTGTTTTTCAGAACCTTAAAGTAGTGTTAAAAACAATAACATAATCTTGAAAGTAATTAAATGTATTAAAAAAAAAGTGAAACTTACAAAACTGCATAAATTCAAGCCTTTTACTTGTATTAATCTTTGTTGCTCCAAATGCTTCTTCGATCATTCTGATATGACCTGAAAGTATGAAAGATGTGAGTGAAATCCATACTTCAGGTTATTACAGTGTATTTAAATCAGTTATTATCGTTCAGGTTACGTGTATTCATATTTCAATTCTGTAATAAACAAATGAAGAAGGGTTACAATTGACTTGCTAAATGATTTTTTGAAAACCAACTTATCACTCGCTTGTAAATAGTACTCTGCATAGCGTTTCACTAAAAGCTTATTTAAAGACATATTTTATTTACCCCAGCTGTTGTTGCTTTAATGTTTCAGGAGTAAACCATGTGGTTGTAAAACAATGGCATATTTCATTTGAAAAATGACATTTTGACTGAAATATTTAATTACAGTGTCCAAAGTTTTATATCCATGTATATACATATATATATATACATATGTGTGTATTGCATTTGTTCACACTTGTGCATCAGTGTTTTAAAATAATACTGACACAGATGTTTACTTTGAATTACAATACTGCGTTTTGCTCAACAAGAATCAAGTATAAAGTTGATTGCTTCCTTTTGCTGCTCGTCTTGTTCCACTTATATTATTGGAAAAATTACCTTGTTCAATTTATGTAAGGTATTGTTTTGTCTTCAAATAAAAGAGCTTGTATGTATTTTTGCATCTCGAAAACTGTGTTTTATTTCACTTTCACTCTTCGTTACTGTCTTCTTAAAAGGAACTAATATTCTAAATTATACTTACAAATTCGATATCCCCTTTGTGTAGATTTATGATTAACTACAAGCAAACATGTAAAAAAACAAGAGTACTAATTTTTTTTCAGAAATTCGTTCCTATCTGTGCTCTGCTCACCACGGGGATCGAAACCATGTGTCTAGCGTTGTAAGTCCGCAGACATACCGCTGTGCCACTGGGGGACTACATTGTCTGTAGGCAATTTTTAAGGAAAATATTTTATGTTAATTTTACTAGTTTTTATTAGAAAAATATTTTATTTGAGTCTGATTATGAACACAGTGTGTACATATACAAATTTATGTATAATATTGATATCTAAATTAATCTTTTATAATGTAAGGCGTTTTATAGTATGAGTTTAGAAGTTACCGCCAGGAGATCTATTGTAAATCTTCACATTATATTTCTCAGACAGTGTAACGGAAAACGAATTATAAATATAAATATCAGCTATTCCCGAATCCAATGGTTATGTCACAGTTTAACTTGCTAAGTGAAAATTATCAAACTTTTAACTAAAACTGTGCTACTGCCTAATGAGTTTCACATTCTCTATATTTACAGTCATATTAGATTTTTTTACAAAATGTCTTACTTTTTTTGGAGGAAACATGGATGAGTTGTAAGTGGTAGCTATATATCATTTCGTCAGATACGATTAACCCAAGAGGAGGCGGTGTGTGTGCTGTTAACTAGTTTCTTCCCTCTTATTTGTAAGTTAAAAATTAGGGACGGCTATACGCTGTTAGCCCTTCGTCTAGCTTTGCGTAATGATTATGAAACAAACAAATAATACTTAATTGGCATGAATTTAGCAAAATAACAAGTGGAATTACTGGTGCTAGTGTGGTATATACAATGTATTCGTATTTGGCAATGCTCTTTTTTAATTTCATTTTAAACTGCCCATAGTGTCATTTTTCAGAGAACCACTTCTTCATACCTCAGAACTATCAATTCATTGTTCTGACATTTACTGAGGTGGTCTAAGTCTGGAAACTTATCAGTACTGGATCAATGAATAGAAGAATTATTACATATTAAAACATGTTTTTGTTGTTGTTAAATTACAATATTCAGTCATACATTGCTATTTCATAAAATAAAATAATTTGGGAACGAAAATAACACATGACGTGGTCGCTCATGCGAAGTAATGTTATATTTGATGTGAGTGTTATTCATATGTTTATTATATTTTTATTTATTACACCATAGTATATTAAATTTTATTGATTTTGGATGTAAAATATGTTTGATTTATTTTACAATAAGAATAATTTAGTTACCTCTAACTGATGAAATTGTCAGTGAGAAATAAAATTACCTAATCTTCGAGTTCGGGAAATAACATTTTGATAAATGTGACAAAAACGTCTGGCTTATAGTTGGTATATCTAAGCTTGCCACTTTTTGAATTAATATAAATATATCAAATATGTGTGGAGTGATTATTTTGTATTTGAAAAAGTAAATGTTTTAATCATTAACCATCATATACTATGTAGTATGACTTATATTGACCATGGTGTACGATGATTGTTCAGAAAGAAACGAAATTTCATTTCATATAGATCAATAACTCATCACATTAAACCAAGAAACATAGGCTAAACCAGATATCATTTCACGGTATAAATCTCGCTATCTACAAATCTCACAGTATAAATCTCGCTATATTTTATCTATGAACTTCATCACACTGCTTCGCTGAAATACTGCGTGACGTTGCGAATCCAGTTGCACATATATATGAACGAATAAAAAGGTTATTATGTTAGTGTACTAAGTCAGAAGTCGCACATATCATTTTATAATTGTTTTACACGCCATCTATCGTGAGAATACAAGTCATATGATGTCATCCGCAGCAAATGTATAAAGACTTATATACATAATCATATGCTGGCTGCAATTTATTCACAATCATTGAATAAGAAATAATTTTATTCCTGAATATTCCTTGTATGTAAAACATTTACGCATTGTGTGTTTTCACTGATGTATACCCATTTAGCATATAATACGAAGATTTGAATTATTGGCGTAGTTAAGATAATTTTTAATTTAGATCAAAACAAAATCCATATATAAGATTAAGGTGCCTTGGAAAACTATGTCACATTCTGAAGAAATAGAAATAATGTAAACATTTTTTTAATGAATTTGTTTTTATTCAAAATTGCAATGATCAAACGTAACACTGTTATGTGTGAAGGAGGTCGAATGTCAGCAAAACCTACAAATAAAGTCTATAAATTGAAATTTGCTGATTGCATAAGTATTCAGCCCCCAAAGTCAGCATTTGTTGGAAGCACCTATGGCAGCAATTACTGCTGTGAGCCTTTTGGGGTAGGTCGCTACCAGCTTTTGCACAATGGGATGGTTTAATTTTTGTCCATTCTTCCTAGCAAAATTTCTCCAATTCTGACAAGTTCGTTGGGGATGTAACGCTTTGACTTCAGACCAAAAAGCTCAATTTTTGTTTCGTCTGCCTACAAAACCTTCTGCCACATGTATGTAGTATCATTTACATGCTTTGTCGCAAACTCCATACGAGATTAAAGATGATTCTTTTTTAGTAGTGGCTTCTTTCTTGCCACTCGCCCATACAGGCCAGCTTTATGTTGGGACGGGGATATTGTCGATGTATGAACACTGACTTCCATCTTAGACAGGGACTTTGAAAATCTTTCAAAGTCACTGTTGACTTCACAGTGGTATCCCTAACCAGTTTTATGCTTGCCCGACTGCTACGTTTGGAAGGGTGGTCTAATCTAGATAGTGACTGGGTGGTATGAAGCATATTCCGTTTCATGATTTCAAGCTCAGACGGCAACAAAGTGTGGAAACTTTGCGGGGGGTTTATCCGTCAATGGAGTGGCTATAGATCTTATATCTGTAAGTATTGACATGAACCAATATTTATATTTCATGTCAAGATGCTCTGTTATTCTTCTGGAAATAATTAAAGTCGCAACACAAGGAATGACTATTTCTAACTTATCAGAATATATAATACATTGACTTTTACAAATTATTGTCCTTAATCCTTGAAATAATAACTTCTAATTTGCAGTATGTACCGTTATTTTTTAATATGATTATTAGAAATGTTCAATTCGTAGCCAACAAGAATTAAAATTTTAGAGAGTAATAAAGGAGTTTGTTTGTTTTTAATTATGCACAAAGCTACAAGGGATATCTGTGCTCTGACCACCACGGGTATCGAAACCCGGTTTCTAGCGTTGTAAGTCCGCAGACATACCGCTGTGCCACTGGAGGGCAATAGAGGAGTAATACAAGCATAGGAGTATAACTTGTGTAAATGATTAAGATGTCAAATAACGTTATTTTCAAGGTGTTGAGTGTGTCAAAGTATTACACTCAAAATGTTGAATAACCTAAATCTTTATAGTTTTTTTTCATTCTACTTCACTCATTTGAAGTTTTGTTTTAAATTTATAAAATAAATCCTCAATAAAACTATTAGATGTGCAAGCTGGTATCACTTACACGATAGAGGGCTTTAAACATTCAAATATATATAAGAATTTCATATTAAACAACAATTCTCCTATGATGATTTGTGTTGTTTTTGAATCTCGAAATAACGAAAGTGAAAATTATCATTTAAATTACAGTCAACATTCACTTGTGAGTATTATAAAACATGAAGTTGAATAATCACTCATTAAAATATAGAGT